TATTTTGGGGGGGGGGGATATTTAGTGACAAATAACTGGCCGAAATAATAGGCAGTATCTTTTGGACAATTTCTGAATAGTTAAATTAATTCTAATTGATTCAAGCCAGTAAAAACTGTCCAGTTTCCGTTTGTCTAGCGACTAGTTTTCCCGTAACATTTTTCTACTCGGATTTCGGCCGTTCGCGTTTTCTCCGAACGTTTTTACCGTAGACTGCGAGCTCTGCGCGCGACGAACGTGCATCATAACGCAGTTTCTCACGGAAACGTCGCTCTCCTTCGTGTCGGATACAATTTTCCTGGCGCGCGAGTCTCGCTGTGTAATTATCGGCAGATACTTTCTCCGAGTCGCGCGCCGTGCGTTATCGCGACGAGAAGATCTGCTCTCTGCGCGCACCGAGAGAGAGACGATACAATTAGATTAGGTGTGTAATTCGTTACCAACCAGCGGAACGTCGATTTTACCTCCGACGTCTTGCGTCACACATGCCGCATTAGGCTAGGGAAGTGCAAAAGTTTCCACTTCCTCTTCCAGCACTTTTCACGCGTACTTTCGCGCGTAAGGTTACGCGGGAGAATTTCAATTCTCTTTTTATCACTTTTTATATTTTATTTACGACATGACGCTGGACTTTTTTCGGGAATAAAACCACTGCTGTTTAAACTGAGCTGAGATTCTCCGAGTACTGTTGACGCTACTTCTTTGCTAAATCCAAAAGTAAGACCCGTTGATTGAATAGTTGTTACTTGAAACTTACTTTAGATGAGATACTCAGATTTGAATTCAGAGGTAGATGTGAGCTTTTCAGTTGAATAGATGTACGTTTACAGATGTAACGTATCATACGATTTAAGTGAAAATCTCAAGTACTATACTCCTAGATACTCCTTAGCAAATATTGATTCGAACGTAGCAATTTTTCTTTCAGTGTATACATCAATTTTCACAAACCATGTAGATTCCTCCATGGATTCTCATACACCATATGGACACTCCAATATGGATTTTTATTATTCTGTATAAATTCACATGAGATTCCCGTGGGAATCTATTTAGAAATTTTCGACAGGGAGGTTACTGGAAGCGTCAATGTTATAAATAAAAACGAAACGGAGAAACATTCGTCTGTTTACACGTCTATGGGTCAGTTTGACCCCCATGCGTCCACTTATGACTTAAAGATGAGTACACGCGCGTGGTATATTGAACGGGGAAATTTTAATGAGTTACTTCAACTTGAATCTCTTTCGGATTTGGATCCGGTTTACGACTCGGTGACGACATTTGTGAAAGACTTTCAATCACGATGCACACATTATGCGAGAGAAAGGATCTTGTCGGGCTCTGCAAACGCTACGGCGGCTGTAAGAACGCCATGAATATCTGAGACTGTTGACCAACTGGAGACTACTTCAAGATTTCTCTATCGCGTGCATTACTTTGCACCGGCGGTGCGTGCAGACACCCGCTACGCAACTCGAACACGCGCGTTTCTTCGTACGCGTCGTTTTCGGCTGGAACCGGCTGTCACGCGTCCGTTGCATTATTTAACGCGCGCAAGTAACACAGTGATCCGTAGGACAATTGTGTCGCTGATCGTCATTTAGATCGATCGTGTAGGAATCACGCTTGACGATCCTCGCCTTACGATTGTTTGCCAGTCATTATGCGCGCGGGGGCGCGTTGACTCATTTCACGCGCATTAACCGTGAGTGATATCTTTAACATTTAATTACGGACGCCAAGATACGAATCAGAACGTCGTTCCCCAGCGACACCGTCACGGACGAAGAATAAAGCTTCGCTCATAAATATTTCTCCGATATTTTCAGTACACCGAGAAAAAGATTTCTTCAAATTTGATCGATTTTATTGCATCGAAACAAATTTCACCATCGGTACGCTCCGAAGAAACAAATTTCTCGATTAATAAGATTACGATTGTTAGACTTTTCAACGAATACGTATCTTTATCTCAGATAAAAAGTTCGTTTGAAACGAAAGATAGTTTTCTTACAAAAAAAATTATTTGCTTCATTTCCCATATTTATTCTAACCAAATCATATTTTATTTGGTTAAGAGACATTATTTCAAATAATAGCGTTCTTTCGGTTAAATAATCCGAATTTTCTTGAATGAGACAATAAGATTTGTACTGAAGCAAATAATAGCGTTTTTCTCCGTGTAGGGGAAAAGGAAAAGAAGAAATTCCCGTGTGCTCATTTCGAGCGTCTCGAACAAAAATCGTTCATGTTCGAACGTACATATATAATAATAATGCGATAATCGAGCATTAATGTGATAATCGAGCGCAAAGTTGAAAGGCTACGTAAAGATACATACGCATGTAATGCGTGCGGCGCAAAAGAGTGCGCACTAAAAAGGGGAAAAACACGGAACAAACGCATAATCGCGGCCGGGCAATTAAGATTACGTGCTGAAAAGTTCGCTCTAATCTGCGCGCATTAGCGCGCCATATTACCGCATTATTTCTTCATCCGCAATCCCCCCGAGCCGGCGATTTTCTCGGCGATTATCAGCGGCTGATCCGTCGCTCGGTTAATTAATTGTCGGAATAACGACGCAAGGACGCAGATGCTTAATTGGAGGACCAGAGCAGCCTGCGAAACGCGTCAATTATATCAGACGCGTTCGCGGTACGCTACGAGACGCATCTCGTCCTCGGGGTTTCCCCATTTCTTACGAAGTGTCGAAATCGACGGATCTTGACGACGAGCTCGCGAACCTCTCGAAGTCGCGCCGAGAATCGTCTGATTTCGCTCGATATTTTCGCGCGCACGCGTACGTACACGCGCGATTAGAGAATCCCAACAATCTCTTTCTCTCTCTCTCTCTCTCTTTCTCGACAAATAAGCGCACTTTGTAAGCGCGTTCGGACAGTCGCGTGTGGTTGCTCGTCTGAGGGTTAAAAGTCGATGATGAAATTTGCGAGAACGATTTCGCTATATGACCGAGCGCAACCATTTCAGCCGCGTGGAATAAGAATCTCCCAAGCACAATTCGCTCGTTCGCACATTTCACGCTTATCATTGCGCTATCGTGACGCAATTTTTACGTAATGCGCCTACTGCACGCGCTACTCGTCTCACTCCGACACCTAAAACTGCGCAGAAACGAAAAGTTCGTTCCTGTGATTGAATCCGGGTTGACCGGATGAAGACTCGGTGACAAGAAATATACAGGGTGATTTGGAACAACCACTTGTCTCCTTTGAAAGATATATTTCTCACTGGATTCTGCGAGACGACTTTCCCTCTTCCGAAACCTTGGAAACGGGGAGAAACGTTGTTTATTCAATTTTTTTCATTTATCCGAGGAAAGAAATAGGAAAAACTGCGGAAAAATGAGAAAAAAATATAGTTTCTTTCCGAACTTTTAAAACTTGGAAGAGAAAAGTCGTCTCAGAATGAAAAGTGAAATGACGTCATAAAAAATATATTCAATCATGAAATTTAATAGAATAATGGTTCCTTAACACAATTCGATCGATGTACGAACCGTATTATAAAGCCGGTCTCGGAAATCAATGAATTGTAAAAAATTAAGGTGCGTTTAATAATATTACCAGGGACTGAGTATATACGGATATACTCAACCATATATACTCTCGAAGGTGCGCGCTCAGGAAGGTGTACATATGGACGTGGCTTATATATATATATATATATATATATGTACACGCATATTCTTGACACGCTCAAAGGATACGAAACCGGTACCGCGTACGTACATACTTGTACGCACGCATCGCTCATGTGTTCATTTGGTGGGGGATACTTGTTGTTACGCCCCGCCCCTCTTCGGCCCCTTGTATTTTTATATCAACATTTAGTGCGGCTCAGGACACCGTTGAGCTTGCAGCAGTCCCTTCGGTTCACCTTGTAGTTCTGGCTTTCCGTCCCGCGACGCGCGCGTCTCTTCCGCCGCTTTCGCAACTGCAGAACCGCCGATCGCCGGCTCTGTGAAGACCCCTCCCTCCCTCTTTCTTTCTCTGGAAACCCGAGGAATTTTAATAATTGCGCGAAGCGACAAGTGTCAAATGTGATAATTCGGCGGGCAATCTCGCGCCGGTCGTGACGTTCGCGCGAACTTGCGAAGAGGAGCGCTTGCTCAGTGGTGCGATAAACGGCAGCGAGATAACCGTAACCGTATCTCACGGCTAAGAAGCTATCTGACATCCATCCTTCTTCTTTCCACATTCTGTTTACCGCCGCTACGTTCGTCGATTCTCTCGACATCTCGTGTCTCGAAATACATTCTCGGGCAAACAAACGGAATTTTTCCTTCTCTTTTGAGCCCGACGACGCTCACACCTCGGCTCATCGATCGACATCCGGACGATTCAAGCGCGGGACCAGTTCGCGCCACTCCTCGGCTCCCCGGCTGTTCCGTCTCGAGAACGCGTTCTACGTTGGTACCGCGAGGGAGAAATATTCTACACGCCTGGTAAGAAAGTGGCGGAGAATAGACAGAAGAAGACGGAAGAAGACAGAATAGGGGACGGATTATATCCGTTCGCAGAACTGATCGAACCCGGGCTGTTCTAAGGTTTCCGCCGAGCGACCGGGAAGCCAAGCAGTGGTTTTCGCGCCGAAAGCGAGACGGGAGAGAGAGAGAGAGAGAGAGAGAAGCGGGCAACTCACACACACGCACGAGGCAAGGGGAAATCATCATATAAGCCCTTCGGCCTATCTCAACCCTTTCTCTCGATCCGGCCCCCCCCCCCC